CACACACACACACACACAACAAAACAAGGTACTGCACAGTGACAACGATAAATTATGTTAATGCATTTAGTAAAATTTTATATAGTGGTGTAATAATATTCTGTGTTTAGTATTCTATGTATGTATTATATGTGAGTTATATGTGAGGAAGCGTGGTGGAATCAGACTCTCGTCAATTTTGGGCATGTAGAGTTATTGGTATCATCTTAAAGCTTGTTCACTTGTCTTTATTTGGATGAAAAAATTATCCATGTATCTTGAATACAAGTCGAGATATTTGCCAATGAAGAAGGTGGGTCATCTGTTTTCAGAGGTAAAATTAGTAAGAAAATGGCTTCCAAAGATTAGTTCTTTCCTTAGCTTTAGAGTCCGTGGTAACTGAAAATTTACATTTTGTTTTGTGCCTTTAATTAACGTTTTCCAGAAAAATCCAGACAGAAATTAGTTCTTTAATGGGCATGAAAGGTCTTGAGCCAAAAAAACAAAAATTTGATAAAAATTCACAAACCCATGGAAAAATGCAAGTTTCTTCACTTTGATTATTTTGACAAGAGCCTGATTCCATCATGCTGTCTCACATATTATGTCGTGTGCTTAATTATGCATTCATGTAGGTGAGTAATAATAATTGGTTGCGCATAACATTTCAGAAACTTTGACCTTTTGTCTATGTGTCAAAGGTTTTTGCTAGGTCAGCATATGATAGGTACACATGATAATAATATATTATAATCATTATTATAGATCTATCCAATGGCTGTACTACAACTAAAAGGTGATGAAAGTAATCGGCTGCACATTAGCTCGGATCAAATTTGACCTTTGTCCTCCTCTGTGCCAGCACCGGCGTCTGTGGTGTAGTGGTTAGTCGCTTCGCTATCGCACCCAGGAGACCCTAGTTCGATTACCCCAGAGAATATAATTAAATTTATCGAGTACTTCATGGGTCTTTCCGCTGGGATGCTGTATCTTCCCTCTCAGCCTGGTTTGGCTCTAACAGGCAGGGTCGGACGGATGCCTGCTTCCTAAATGATCTAAAACTGTGTCGACAGGGACGTAAAACAGTTTTGGGTTTACAGTCGCCAAGTGAGTGAAGTAAAGTAAAGTAAACGTGTTCCCGCATCCGATCCGGACTTTGGGGATTGCCTTGTAAGTGAGACAACTTCCTTGGACACCTGAATTCACATTGTGGTAGGGTGGCCAGTTCCTTTCCACGCCGCCATTACTTCCACAACTCGAAGTCAGGTACCCATTACTGCTGGGTGGGCAGAAGGGGGGCGAAAAAAATCCGGGTCCGAACCGAGGCTCGAATCTAGACTTTCTGCTTCGGAGACGAACGAGCGCACTAACCGCTCCGCCACCGCCAAGGTAGTTGTGAACTCATATGTGAGGCAGCGTGGTGGAATCAGGCTCTCGTCAGTTTTTGGGCATGTAGAGTTATGGGTATCATCTTATAGCTTGTTCACTAGTCTTTATTTGGATGAAAAAATATCCGTTTATCTTAAATACAAGTCGAGATATTTGCGAATGAAGGAGGTGGGGGTCACCTGTTTTCAGAGGTAAAATTAGTGAGAAAATGGCCGCCAAAGATTAGTTATTTCTTCAGCTTAAGAGTCCGTGGTAACTGAAAATTTACATTTTTGTGCCTTTAATCAACGCTTTTCAGAAAAAATCCATTCAGAAATAATTTCTTTAATGTGCATGAAAGGTGTTTGGGTAAAAAACAAAAATTTGATAAAAATTAAAAAACCTGTGGAAAAATGCAAGTTTCTTCACCTTGATTATTTTGACGAGAGCCTGATTCCACCACGCTGCCTCACAAATAGTGCTCAATATTGCGTGACAATGCACGATAGTATAAAACGGAAGTACGACTTGAAATAAACAAACCTAGCGGATTTTATAAAATTACAGAGACAGAAGCGTCCGCCTACAAAAGCGATTGGCGAAATAAAGAAATTTAGCTTTTTGAGAAAAAACTGTCTCAAAACTGAAAAAACGAAGGGCGTCATGGTCTGGAGAATATTTTAAAGAATATTTTCAGAAAAATCCACACAGAAATGAGTTCTTTAATGGGCATGAAAGGTGTTGAGCCCAAAAAACAAAAATTTGATGCAAATTCACAAACCTGCGGAAAAATGCAAGTTTCTTCACTTTGATTATTTTGACGAGAGCCTGATTCCACCACGCTGCCTCACATATTCAAAAATACTATCAACCGAGTGTCGGTGACACTGAGGTGTAGATGGGTGGTCACTGAGGTGTAGATGGGTGGTCACTGAGGTGTAGATGGGTGGTCACTGAGGTGTAGATGGGTGGTCAC